TAACAACTGACGTGAGTTACACCCACAGAGTTAGTCTTGATTGTCAAAGTACCGATGAAGCGCCTAAGACTGTTGCTTTTCCCCCCACACGGGAGGTTAATCCATCGCAGGTTTCTCTCAGAATTTTGTCAACCAGTAACTTTTTATCCTTCGATCCAAGACTGCGGTAGTTGAAAGCCAGGATAATTAACGCTGTAGCTATCCATCTATTAAATCACTGTCCAATGGATACCGTATTTGGTGTCGTTAGCCAGTCCTTCCATCCAGACTGCTAACAGGTGGTGAGTACTGCACCACATGTGCGGAGAGACGCTTTGTGAGAGTCTTGTGACAGTTGATTGTTTGATTGATTCATTGATTGATTGACTTATTTGTCTTGCCCATGAGCAACCATGACAACGCATAGCTCGGGTCACTGCGCCGAGAGGCATGGTGTCTAATTCTCCTGTTGTTTTCAGTCTACACTCGAGTCACCTGTAGCTCGCAGGTATATCACAAGAATTTAACACAATAATGCGGTAAAAGAAATTGAACTAAACCTAATCCTTAAGGATTTTTGGCGATCTCTCGTTAACAGAACAGTTAATACAATGATCTAGAAGGAGTCACCCACACGAGAGAAACTGGTTACAAAAAAACTTCATTGACAGGCATCAAGTGAAAGTCGGGTGAAAGATCATCTATTGTATAAAGGTAAGGCTTGTTCAGGTTGAGATCACTGGTGTTCCAATCTTGTTAGCTTTTTCATTTCTCCCAGCATGTAAACAAACTGCTACCGTCTGAAACGTTCTTAATTGTTCACGGTATTAACGCTTGTGCAAGTCCCATCTTTAAAGGCGATATTTGCGACGATTTTTTGTGCGGTGATCAGTTCACAAGCGATTACATTTACCACGATCCTAAACTTAACTCCATTGTTCTATCATGCGGTCGCAGTGAAATCGCCGGTCGTCTACACGGGTAACTGAAATCATCTTTTAAAAAACCTCCGCAAAGATCATTGAACAATGGCTTGTCAAGGCTTGTGTAAACTGATGTTAACATGAAAACACTGAATTTACAGGTCACGCTTGTCAAATTAAGAATTCCTCTGAGTTGAACTATGAAGCGAGAACTGGACAAATTAATTCTCTCGCAAAAACTGAATCATCGTCACTTTCTGAGAACAAAAAGATATTTTCCAATCTTACTTAAAAGTAAACAGAAAATCACTTCTCGCATTCAAATGGACGGTATACGAGCAAGAAATTTAAAAAAAGAACAAATTTTGTCTCGATATAAGTACCAAATAATTGCACACTCAATATTTGTGTTGATTCTACTAAATAAACTTTTCTCCGGAAATATTTTATAAACATTTATTTCTGATTCAGGGCAGGCACACAAACAGAGATTATTTTCAAGTTTCATAGCAATATTTTCTCATCTGATAGGCAGAAGATTCTCTTAGAAGTCCTTGCTTCAAAATTCTAACAACTTTAAAAGTTGTTTTAAAGTAGCGTAAATTCAGACTTATTTTAATGAGCCACCTGTTCTGGTATGCAAAATATAGTACATATTTCCATTAATTTTTGTCGTGAAAATCCGGGAGAGTTTCTTGCACAGGATGTGATGTAAAATACGGCAAACGTTTTGCATTAGACGTATCATATATAGAACTGGGTCCAGCTGTTCGAAGGTTGGATAACGTTATCCACCCGATAAATCACTATCCAGCGGATAGCGTGGTTTGTTTTGTTAACACTTATCCACTAGATAGCAATTTATCCGGTGGATAGCGCGTTATCCAGCCTTCGAACAGCTGGGCCCTGACCTTACGTGGCTGCCTTCGTCGATCAAAACAGACCTTCCTACATTCTAACGAACAATGGCGCCAAATCGAGGTCAGAGTGGAACGTAACAAAAAAAATCCGCCCCAACCTCGATCTGGTGCTATTCTTCGTACGTACGTAGAATGTCAGAAAGGCCCTTTCACGATAGCTGTTTTAACTCAGATATCGCGGTGCAATCTTTGATAAATTCGCCTGATCTTGTTGCAGCTGAATACTATAGTGTACATTTATTGTATGCGTGTTTTATTCGTGGAGATAAGATTTATATATACATTTTTTTCTGGAGCCCCTCGACTCGAAGGGTTCACCTCTTCAATGCTAATAGAATTAAGAGTGAATTTCTAATGGGACTAATTGAATCAATTGAAAAGCCACGTAATCTACCTTCTACCATTTTTCTGTTGAAATTTCATTTCATCACAAGAAATTCTGCTCTCCAGATTCATAGGGAAACTACTGATCACAAGAACAAACCTGATTGGGAAACGAAATGAAGTTTGGACACGATAAAGACACACAACATTGTACAACCTGCACTCAGAAAGAGTCATCTCAATAACACAAGTCGATCGACCTCAGTTTTCTTAACAAACATCAAAGTAGTATTAGTAATATTTCTGTTCAGATTTTACCTCTAGTGGCATTTCCAAGAGCGACCTCTTAGGGCCCTCTTGAACAACTTAAACACTACAATCTTGAATTAAGCACGGATTTCTCGGCAAACGAGCACGCGTTCAAGTTAGGTAGCAAAAAAAGGACAAAGTCATCTATAGCCAAGCAAACTTTGGCGAAAATTCAAGAATTATCTGTAAATTCAACATTTTCATTGGTAAACGGTCATTTTGGAACATTTTGTTTCGTTACGAAGTTCCCCCAAGGTTGCTAGTACCGAGTTGTGAAGTAGAGAGCATTAACCAATTATAGTTCAACACACCCGCTTAGCCACCTGCTAATATGGTCTATTGGTCATCCTTGGAGAATGTACCGTAAAATAATGAATTGAGGAGTTTCCTATACAGCCCACTCACTTAAATACACCCACGAGATCGCGAGGTTCTAGTCAACGGGAGAGAAAATATTTGGGTGAAGAAGTTTTTAGAATTTTTTTCATCTACGGGGCAGCTCTAGATCTTGGGCAACGCTATTTCCACTCAAGTCATGGGCTTAGAAGCTTAACTTTGTTTCATAATTAACCGCGGAGATCTTCTGCTAAATGAATAGTTTCTAACCTCGGCGTAACTTAATAATCAAGGTCACTATACCACTGAAGTGGCACGACCCTAGAATGTCAAGAGGTAACACGGTTTTGGTGACTATTTTTGGCTACGACGCACTTTGGTCAAGACGGCGTCAATCTTAAAACACTAAGCTGACAAATGCCGTGATCTAACTACAACATGGACCCAGAATATTTTGATAGTTCTCTTTCACTCGTAGCAAACGAAGAGTGTAAAATCAGATCATGCAGGCCTCCAAGAATCGAAGAATTCCCACCTGATGTGTTTAGCCAGGAGCAAAGATTCTACGGCGGTGTGGCGTTTCATCTTGTTGTCTGCCTCCATATCTTCTGCGCTTTGACAGTGGTCTGTGATGATTACTTCGTCGCATCGCTCAACCGAATCACAAAATGCTTGGGCCTCAAGCCAGATGTGGCTGGTGCGACGTTTATGGCAGTTGGAAGCTCCGCGCCAACGCTATTCATTTCAATAATATCGACATTTTTCACCGAAGGAGATATCGGGCTTGGTACAATAGTCGGATCGACTATATTCAACACGCTCTTTATCATAGCCTTATGTGGTATCGGGGCTGGCTTAACAATGAGACTGAGTTGGTATCCGCTTTTCAGGGATTCTACAATGTATATAATTAGTGTATTAATTCTGATGGTCGCATTATACGATCGGAAAATCCACTGGTATGAAAGCGCCGCATTTTTCATCTCTTATTCTGCGTACATTGTTGTTATGTACTTCAATACCAGCATAGAAAAATGGTCACAGAAAATGAAAGGTCAGTTAATAAAACGAAACGAAGAGGAAGATTCTGAATCCAACGAGCAAACTCAAGACAGTGCGATGGAAACTTCAGAAAGTCATCACTCCGACGAGGCGGAGAATCGTTTTAGAATGCCTAAGGGATTTTTTGCTAAAATAGTTTGGATTTTCACGCTCCCAGCCATAGTGTTATTCTACCTAACAATTCCAGATTGCCGAAGAAAGGAGTGGCGAAAGTTCTACCTGGTAACGTTCACGATCTCTGCTTTCTGGATGGGCGGGTTATCCTACATTCTAGTATGGATGGTGTCTATCGTGGGATACACTTATAGTCTCCCAGAGTGCGTCTTGGGCATGACGTTTCTTGCTGCAGGCAGCAGTCTCCCAGACGCCATCGCGAGTTTGGTAGTCGCAAAGCAAGGCAGTGGGGACATGGCGGTCTCCAACTGTATTGGAAGCAACGTTTTCGATATGTTATGCCTAGGAATTCCGTGGATGATTAAAACCACTATCACCGCGCCGAACAGTGTTGTGCACATTCAAAGCGAGAACATATTTTTCACGTCAGGGATTTTAATAGCAAGCATCATTTGTACCGTTTTGTTAATAGCCCTGAACAAATGGCGACTAGACGAGAAGCTCGGCGTGATTTTCCTCGTCATGTATTTGCTTTTCCTTGGCGTAGCTACATTTATCGAAGTGTTGCCTTGCTGTTAAAGCCGGTGATTAATTTTGGCAAACCTTTGGCTAAGCACTAAAATTGTAGGAATGTTACAATAATGTTTGCGCCGTTTGCAAGAGCACAGTGAAGGAATTTCAATAAAGAAATTCAGTTGTCTACTTATAGAGTTTACTCTCTGTCTGCCATACTCGCTTTCCTGGTGAAGCCGGGCATTTTATCTCAAAACGTCCTTCATGGCGAACGGCCTTTAAAGCGGAGTTGAATTTGGTCACGTGATGTATCTTCAGCAATTGTGATTGGTTGCGCCAAAACCCGCTCAATTGCAAGGGCAATCAAATCTGGCCAATCACAACAACGCAGAACTGGAAGTTCAAGCACACCACCCATGCTAAGCGCGGTTAAACGGGTATTCGATCAAATTAAATTTAAAAAGCCTTTTTTTTTAAGACTGACCAAACTTTGCTATAAACATCGTTTTTAATTTGGCACTGCGTTATTACTATTTACAACTTATGAGAACTTCAACTCATTAGTCAGAAAGGACATAACTTTGCAAGTAAATTATGTATCTGCTTTGCGTTTGCCTGGCTCTTTGTGAACGAAGTAATCCACAAATTTACAACTTGTTTAAATTGCTGCAATCAAGCAGCACAAAGATGCATTATCCCTCTGCCCCCCTCCAAAAAAAAAGTAAAACAAAACAAAACAAAACAAACAAAAACATAGATACTGAAACAAACTCAGGTTTACAACAACTGCAACAAAAAAGTAGACAATCTTTTTTCAAATGATAACTTTTCTTGAATTTATCTTTGACACAGGTGTTCTAATTTCTGGTAACCGGACGAGAAGGTAACCTAACAATGACAGAAAAGTTTCCAAGGAAACTCAGCGTGCTTCATCACATCCGGCATGTGAAGCGACACTTCTTCAACTGCAGCAGCCATACTATCATCAATGTACTGCAATATGAGACACTATTTTCCCTGCAGCAGAGGAGGAAAGGCGCCATTGTCATACACACTTTGGTTTGTTTGTATTGCTTCGGGGCGTTAGCGGTATTGTGCGATCACTATTTTTGTGCTTCACTTGAAAAACTCTGCAGACGGTAAGTAATGATAAAATAGATGTTCACAATTAGAAGTATAATGTCTCGAGCTAGAATGGCTTTTACAGTCGTCTTCGACGAGTGAGTAACCAGAGAACCTAAGCACTTTAATTTTGCGCCAATTGGTTCGAGGGAACGTGCTAGTGTGTGTTCGTCTGCGCCAGTTAGAAGAGACTAGTTTTCGCGTCGTTTCTCTCTCATATGAAGTATACTGCGCGCCAAAATTGGGCGCAAAATGTGACAGCCAGTATCAGTATTGTGAAGAAACTAAAATGTACTGAAGAAAGAGTTCGGGTTTATTGCGTTTTCCAACACTGGAAGAGGGGTTAATCGTTCGAAAGACACAAGTGGGTGATTTCAGGTAAAGACCCGAAGTAAGTGGATATGAACCACGAACAAACGTGAAAAAAATTAGGCTAATACAAGTTCAATATGTGACTGTTTTCCACAGGCTCCGCATTCCAACAGATGTCGCGGGCGCGACATTCATGGCTGCTGGTAGTTCCATGCCCACCCTGTTCATTGCAATCGCGTCCGTGTTCATGGGCGAAGGTGATATAGGCCTGGGCACTATAATTGGCTCAACAATGTTCAATATTCTTTTCATATCGGCGATTTGTGGGCTGTGCTCTGGTATGGCGATAACCTTACACATGTGGCCGCTACTGAGAGATTCTATCGCGTACACCGTTCATCTAATTGCTTTACTGATTGCCATCGAAGACAATATGGTTCACTGGTATGAAGCAGTAGTGTTTCCGTTCTTGTACTGCGGTTATATAATCATCATGTGCTATAATAAAAGACTGGAAGGATTGTTCGAGAGACTGTGCTCAAGGTTTTGCGACTTTCGCAAAGGATTTGAAATGGTCCCAATGGAAGACCCCCGGGAAATCGCAAAGGAGGAAGCTACTAATGAAGACAGCACCGCAAAATCCGGGGGAGAAGAAACTAGTGATAAAGGAGAAAATGTTGATGAGACAGATAAAGAAATCACCAACAGTACAAACGAAGAAAAAGATAAAAGTGACTCAGATAATTCATGCTCTCATATTCACGGTTTTTCACCGAAATCGCCATTCGAAATTCCCAAAACTTCTTTTAAATTAGTTATCTGGGTTGTCATGTTGCCGATCCAGTCTCTTTTCTTCATCACCATGCCCGACTGTCGAAAAAAGGGCTGGGAGAACTGGTACCCAGTTACATTTGTAGTATCAATTCTATGGATGGCCATCATATCATACGTACTTGTATGGACCGTGTCAATTATAGGCGAGACGTTTGACATCCCAGAATGCATCATGGGATTGACATTACTGGCAGCAGGCTCTAGTGTCCCGGATGCAATGGCGAGTCTCATAGTCGCTAAGCACGGCATGGGGGACATGGCGCTAGCTAACTGTGTAGGAAGTAATATTTTCGACATTCTTTGCCTGGGGCTTCCATGGTTTTTAGCCACGACAGTCGTTCATCCAAACAGCGTCGTTTTAATTCACAGCGGTCACGTGGTTTACACGTCTCTTTGTCTTTTCGGCACAGTTTTTGCGACATTGTTTGTAATTCATCGAAGCGGTTGGCGGTTAGATAAACGTACAGGGTGCATACTTTTGATTACTTACGTTGTTTTCTTATCAGCTGCTGTTATTCTAGAGGCTCTGCCTGGAGGACCCGGCGGTCAGGGGGATGGGCCCAAGTTAAGCCCACATCACCCTGGTCACGTGCCACATAAAGGACTGGGACACCATAAGAATGCTCCTTTGAAGAAAGTCACGTGACCTATCGAGGTTACCGGAGCTGGCGCTCGGAAAGACCACGTATCATATGGTTACAGTATCTCGTGTTGTCGCCGAGGCAGTTCTCTGTGTATTTGATTCGGTAAGATATCTAAGCAGTCGGAATCTTTAGCTGCTCTATAACAAGATTCGTATTTGATAATAATTATAAGAAATTAAGAGCTTGACCGCGCGCCATAAAGTACGTTTGTAAGCCCCTTCACAGACAAACTTCTTAACCAAAAATAAAACCAGACATTGAAACGTGGAATCTTTCATGAGCCGTATCAAATGTATTAGGTTCGACGCATAAACTGTTTGGCGTTTTAACCATGTCTCAAAGTTGTAACATTCCATGGCTCCTCCGATATATCTCGATGAGAGTGGATCGAGAGAGTTAGCATGGCAGAGCAAAATTGTAAATGCTACCTTGTCCAGTGAAAGGGCAAGTTCCTCGGGCAAATCGAAGTTCTTGCCCTTGAGACCCACTTGCACCTCTTGCCACTATAATTGTACGCTATTCTATAGACTCGCTTAGGCCAGTAACCAGTAAGTTAGCGAGGTATAATTTTCCGCGTTTTTTTTAACGATAGATGTAAGTTTGAGAAAGAACAAGCGAAGGCTAGCCTCTGTGTAAACATGCTTCCTTGAGCGAGTAGTAGAAATGCCTTCTATCGAATAGAAGAAAAACTCAGAAGTTTGATTTATAAATTATTTATTAAGACGCTTTTACAATTCAATAAAAAGTATATATTCTGTACATAGTCCTACTGCATTATTATCACCATAATGTTTAAATTATAATTTTTGTCTCTCTCTCTCTCTTAGTTAACTTACTTGGCTTGTTCTTCGTGTTCGAAAACTGGGCAAGGAAATTTTTTCTCTGATAATAAAGTAACCAAGTTCACCTCAGTTCATTAAAGAACTTTTCAAGGTTCCACCTTTGATGAGGTCCTTTCAAATTACCTAAAATTTCACGACTGTCCTTGCTTACTAACTTCAGAGCCGTAACCAGAAAAAAATTATGATTGAGGCAATGTTCATGATTAAATTCTCTTCCTAGGTATTTAGGGTGTTAAGGATGACTATACACAACAAAAAAAGGAAAAATGACTGAGATAAGTGCCTCGGTTAGCCTGTTACTAGCTGCGGGAACTTTGGGCATGGATGAAAAGTTCTCGTATACCTGCGTTATTTAGCCACTGAGAAGCGAATGCAATGCTCTTGAGTTTCCTTGCGACTTGTTCCGGCGGTCGCGAACTTCATATTATGAAGATTTGATTGTGTTGTACAGGGATCAATAAAAAGCAGGTTACAGTTCCACAAGCCGGTTGAAATCACGCTATCCTGCTGAACTCACGAAGCAAGAATTGTATCACAAGTGCGAAGGAGAAGAGGTAACGACGAATTTCGGTCTCTGTGCCACCTGAAAAAAAGGTCAAAAATATCAAGAACAACTTATTGCATTACAAACAACGCTCTGGTAAAAACAATGAAACAAGCCTCGGATTTTTTGTCTGAAGGAGTTTAAGTTTCAGACGTGTATAGTCGCGAAACGACTGTTCTTTCGGTATATAGTCGCTAAGTTCCCGAGAAGTACCCGACTCCTTTGACATAAATTGCAGGCTCAAAGTTCGTGATTGCGATACTGATTCGTACCCAGTACACCTCTCTACCTAGAATCTTCGAGAAAATGAAAAGAAATGTTCGTTCACTTACCTTCCGCTGTAAACTTCTGAATCTGGGCTCAATATCACAGGTGCAACGCTAAACAGAATAAATACTACCAGGTTACAAATCCACATTAAACGGTATTACAATTACTAGGGCAGTCACACAATGCTTCACCAAACTCACGCAACAGCAGCATTGCGTGACTACCCTGACAACACCTTCAAAGGACACTAGCAAAACCATTGCTGAGAGAAATTCTGTGTTATGAGAGTTTGAACAGAGTAGAGTACATACTTGGGTAGTTTAAGAAGGTTGATAAGCTCCTGGGCTCGCATCAGAAGATCTGGGTAACACTCTGAATCTGAAAGAAGCTCCTACAAATAAAAAAAAGATAAAAGATTTAGTTCGGTAAATAATCAGCCCAATTGCTTCAAACAGTTATTTTGCGTTGCACATATCCAGGCTGAAAAAAGGACCATATAATACAGGCGGAAAATGGTCTTTCCTTTTAACAAATCCTTCTCATCAAAACTAACAAAAACTCACTGGTTTCTGCCGGACCACTTTGCTCAAGCATAAAATAGCTCTCTGTATTACATCTTGACATCTGGATGCAAGCTAAGCGGATAAAAATAACAACCAAATCTCGTTATGTCTCGGAAACAAGTACATGTGTACATGAAATGTTACGGTTTGAATCGGAAATCGAAAAATTGAAAATCGGTTAGACATCCGAGTGAGCCTTCGCAAATGTAGAAATCACCGTTAAAGAGGATATTGTCCTGATGTACCACCAGATTCTAGGAAATCTTGGCTAAGAAACAGTTTTATTCCAAATCACAAGCTGGTGATTGTGTTAAATTGTTTCAGAGATTCAGTAAATAATTATTTGCCTGTTTTGAATGCTGGGCGTTTCCTTTCAGATATTTTAGGATTCCAAATTTCCCGCGCGCCGCCATTTTATTTTTGCAAAGCTTGATGGGAAATTATGATGTCAATGGGCGGTTGCTTTTCAACCAAGATTCCCTTTAAAAGTAACATAAAAACAATGAACAGGAGTGAAACAGGAGAATTAGTATCCTGGCTCAACGTGTACCTTGGCCAAGGTTGTCATCAGAACTGAGACAAGTCTACCACTGAAAGAAACCTGAGGGAGAAAATGTATATTAAATATGACTTTCTGTGAAAAAGAGTTGTGAAAAAGCAGCTTAAACTCTGGCAAAGCGACCAGACATTTTTATGCACTATTATGTTGGTTGTACACGTGTCCTTTTTCTCCATTTCTATACTTTTCTTGTCGATGTTGTACTTTAATCAGTGAATGAACCGGCTGATCGTTTAACTATTGTCATTTCCGCATAATTTTGAGTAAAAATACTTGAACAAGGAGCGGCTAAACGATCACATTCTTATTCGACACCACGTTGAATGGAATTTGTTCTTATTCTGGCCGGCCTTTAGCAATGGAACGATTTCTACCTTTCCTGGTGCATTCTGCATCACAACTTCATATGTTAAAGCTTCAAACGCCTAGAAATAAAACACAGTTTGGATTAAACTGAAGCAATATTACTATTTGCTTTGACGAATACAAACTTCCACGGCTACACACCAAAGGATAAGGACAGAGGAAAAAGGAAATACAACTCCAAAATCCACTTAGACGTATATGTACCTCGAAATATTGCACAATGTTTTGAACGGTACATCCACTGTCATGTGAAGAAGAGGCAAACTCGCCAATCACCCACACCTAAAGAGGAACAATTGGCATATCCCAGTTTCAGGTTCAGTTTTCACACTTCTCTGACATCGACAATTGAAATGACAGATTTCATTCATTATGTTCTACGTTTGTTTCACATGACACTTAATAAAGCTTTTACTTTTACTTGGGGTTCTACCCAGTCTGACAAAACCAAAACCAACTACGATATTGCTTGGACAATACAGGTTACGGGCAGGTTTACTACCCCGTACGAATTTAAAAACGCAGCAATCACCGGTCATTTTGGATTTGTGTTTGAGGAAAACTCGGTCAGGGAAATCAGATGGTTATCGTGACACCATCGTTTACAAAAAACTCTGTTTTCAAGATGTTTTCTTGCTACACGAAAACGTAAAGCCGGCGTTTTCAAATTCCTCCGGTTAGAAGAGCGTTTTCGAAAAGCTCCATTTTCGTGACAGGTTAGTGTGGACGGAGGACCTAACCGTAGAAATATAGCTGCGTTTTCAAAGTTCTTCGGCATAGTGTGAACACTGCCTTAATAATGGTGAACTGCGCTAGCAAAGGAACTGAAAGTACGAAGCATGTGCACAGAAATGGTTCCAAAAAAGCTACAGTTTTTTCAAGAATCAAGGATCAACTTCGTTTCTCGTGAAAAAAAATAACACTCCTTTGTTTTCCGAGACGAAAGTGTATTAAAAACCCAAATACGCAATTGTTGTTTACATAACTAACCAAGTGAACGAAGAAATTCTCTTTGGCTGGTCCAAGATTTTTCAGTCCGCTAACAAACTCCATGATATCCTGTTGATACCTGACTATCAGGTTTGGATATTTCTGACACAACTGTACAAGCCGTTCTGACAGCAACCTAGAAA